CACAAACTTTGGATAGTGACCAAAAGAACAAGATTGCAGATACAGGTGGTCAAAATGAGTTTCTGCAGGGTGGCTGAACTTTCCCTTAGAGATGGAGGGGTGAGAAGTTCAATTATCCTGGAGAAACCTGGAGACTCAATAGAATTAGTGCTCCTCCATATCGAGAGGAGCCAGTTTTGGTGGTCCGGGCACCTGGTAAGAATGCTCCCTGGGCACCTCCTTAGGGAGGTGCTCTGGTCATGTCTGACTAGGAAGAGACCCTGGGGAAGACCCAGGACATGCTGGAGATACTATGTCTCTCTTATGGCCTGGGAATACCTTGGAATCCTCCAAGAAATGCTGGAAGTGGCAGCTGTGGAACAAGATGTCTGAGCCTCCCTGCTTAAGCTACTGTCCCGTGACCCGACTCCGGAACAAGTGAACGATAACAGATGGACACACGGATGGATGGACGGATGGATGTATGTTTTGTAGTGTTTTTAGCAAGTATTCGGATTTGAACTTAGCAGTTACTGTTAAAGAGAATGATGTGTCAAATCGAAGTTATGTTGTGTTAAATTACATTAGTTGGTACTTAAAGGAGAATATTTTATCAATCATGGACAGCTCTGATTGTGCAGGACACTTGTATGTTGTGTTACAGTATATGAAATTAGATGTGGAGATTGGAATGTTTGCTGCCATTTACCTAACACTTTTGCATAGCTGAGTTTTGATTAAAAAAATAGAAGCACAATTGATATTTTTTTCCTCTTATCACCCATTTGAAATACAAATGGAAAAGACAACCTTACTGCTGTGAACAGCCTGTTCCTTTTGTTCCACATTTGTGTGGAGGGTGTCAGGGAGTGTCAAAGGGCTGTGCTTTCATGTTTGTGGGATGCAGTGCCTCTGATTGTGTCTCCACAGTTTAGCCCACTGAGTTTCACTGAGATGAACGAGGGTCAAAAAGTGGCCGCCAGAGATTGTTTCCAACAGCTTTCACACAAACAGTTTAATTTGCTCAGATATCTATGAGCAGCCAGTGTGTTTATTTTTAACTCATACTGTTTGATCATGTTGCAGTGCATAACTCAAGAGACTTGTTCTTTTTAAAATTAATAATAGTTCAGAGCAAAGTGTTAAATACCAAAGGATGGACTCGGTAAGAGGGTCATATGGCAAATGTAAGATTAAACCATAAAAAAGTTTTTTTAGTACATTAAAAATATTGCAACATCACTCAGATCTTTGTTGTTGCTGTCTGTTTACAGCTGTCACGCACCAAAAATATGTTTGCACCAGCTGAAGGTTTTAATGCAAACTCATAAGGGTAGTATCTCACAGGGCTGCGATTGTTGGAGACTAGATGGTGACACTAGTGGAAGGATGTTGTAAAAAATAGTTGCAGTCTCACTGAAATTCGAGCCATCTGAAAAACTCTAGCGCTGTAACAAGTTGTGTGGCTGCATTTTGAGCAGACCATTTTTTTAAATCACATCTTATTGCCCAGGTGCACAGTTTGCAAAACTATATACTCATTATTTTTTCACCTAATTTCACCCACATTGTACCCTCCTATTTCCGCTTTGTGCCCACCTCGGCAACTGCCCCCACATTTATGTTCTATTCTGTAAACTCTTGAAATGAAAATAGGCATATTTGGACCGGTTTTTCAATCGTTTGTCATCTGTGTGGATTTTAGACCTGGAGATGTTTTCTGTCATAGGAGAGCTCCAGTGCAGATGTCAAAATACAGCTGTACCACTCTAGAGATGTTGACAATGCCCACAATAAAAATGAGATTGGTTCAAGACAGGTTTGAGATTCCTACAACGACTCCGCTTCTATTTTGATATAAAAAAAAATCTTTTTGCACCTTTTTTTTTTGAATGCATTCAAAATTCAAGCACCAACAATGTGAGCTTCTGCAACTCAAGCAAGAAAAATCAGAACTCTCATAAACATTTCTAGTCATTTAATAGACTACTTTGTAAATACAGTTTGCCAACAGTCACAGCCACGAAAGATACTACCTTAGGGTTTGCTTTTTGATCCTCCAGTTTGAGTCATGAACCAAAGTCTCGTTTTTAGACTAATGCAATATTTAAAACTGCCTCAGTACATCTGTCACTGGTCTATTTTGATGTTTTTCTTCTACCCCTGTACATTGGACATCCTATGTCCTTATGTGATGAATTGAGCTGATTATTTGTTTATGAAGTCATTGACGCATTTGAGTTGCTGGAACCGGCCAGCTCTCCCAATTGTAGCTGAAGCTTAAAGACACTTGACAATGATTCCAGAGGCTGATTACATGACAGCCTCTGCAGTTAAATTCAGGAAGTACACACTTAAAATCCTGCAGGTTCATAACACAAGTGGACTACAAAGACTACTGAATGCTGCCATGGATAAAATAGAGTTGGCTGTGCATGAAGGAATTTAGCAGATAAATGCGAGTAAGTAAAAAAATAGATGAGGTGAAGGAGAATATTGAAGACAACCCCATCAAACTGTCCTAGGATGACACGTTTCAGACCTTGTCAGTTAGATTGAGGTTTCCTGCAAACAAACATCTGCCTCTTGTGAATCTGTATCTCCCCAACAAAAGTGCTTAAAAAAAACTGTCCCATACTTTGACACAGTGCTGGTTTTACCCAGAGAATATGAACTGAGGAAAACAGACTCAAGCTCTTAGTAATTTAAAGTGGTTTATTTACATTGAATATTTGCAACTGGAAACTTGGGGAAGGAGGAGAAGAGTCAGGATGACTGGAACAAGGGAATGGCAGATATGTACAGGTTGTCCTTTTCTTACAGGTGGGTTGGTGAATTGTAACGTTGAGGATGGCAGAGGATTCCAGGTAGATTAGGTCCAGGTTTGGAGTGCTCAGGTGGAGCATACAGGTAAGTAGTGGGTAAGTGGTTGGATGGTGGCGGAGCAGCTGAAGGTGTCACGATGAGGTTTACAGAGATCCAAAGGTAGGTACATGAATTCAAGGTAGATGACGAGGGGTCCAGGACTGGAAGCTCAGAGGCAGGTTCTGGAAGAATGCAAGGAAAACACTAGGGAAGTTATTGTCTAGGTTAGAGTAAGCACAAGGAGCCCAATAGCCCAAATACCAATGGGTATGTAATTCTGCAGCAGGAAAGGGAGCTCTTCTGCAGCCTCTAATGCCCCTTTTCCATTAGTAATGGTACAGCCCGACTGGACTCGACTCAGCCCGGTTCCAAGGCTTTTCCATTAGTAATGGTACATAGAACAAGTCCCTGTTTTCAGGACCCTTGGCTCTGTGGTTTTAACTCGGCTGGGTAGGTACAAAAACGTGATGTCAGAACACTGTTGATCGGGGCAATGTCACTGGATCTTTCAGAAAATTTTCAAAACACCGATCCACCATTTGCAATTTCTTGGACCGGAGCAGCGGCTGGACCTAGTTTAAAGATTTTAAAAACAATAATGACAACACCTTGGTCTATTGCTGTAGTGCTGGCATTTTTTGTGCTTGGTGGCTGATGACAAAATTCAGAGCGAGCTGGATAGAGCTCTGTTGGTCTACCCCGGTCCTCTCTCTGAGAATCAGAGCCAGGCGTCATTTTCCCAGATCCGAGCTCCTCTGGTCACCGTGGAAGATCCTCCGTGGTGCCGACTTGGGGTTTGGGCTCTGGATCCCAGCCTTGCGTGCTTCGAGCTCCGCTGGTCACCATGGAAGATCCTCCGTGGTGCCGACTCGGGGTTTGGGCTCCGGATCCCAGCCTTGCGTGCTTCGAGCTCCGCTGGTCACTGTGGAAGATCCTCCGTGGTGCCGACTCGGGGTTTGGGCTCCGGATCCCAGCCTTGCGTGCTTCGAGCTCCGCTGGTCACTGTGGAAGATCCTCCGTGGTGCCGACTCGGGGTTCGGGCTCGGGGTTCGGGCTCGGGGTTCGGGCTCTGGATCCCGGCCTTGCGTGCTTCGAGCTTCGCTGGTCACTGCGAAGGCTCATACAAGCTGGTGACTCGCAGAAAGCTGTTGCCCAGACCCCGACCTCGTATAATCATGAAGGCTGAACCCCGATCCCGGCAGACAGGCGGACTGGGACAGGTCTGGGACAAATGATGGAAACGATTTTTAAATACACTGTTTTTAATATGCATAAAATGTTTTTAAAAATCGCTGAAGCGATTTCTAAAAAAAACTAATATTGTTTTAAATACAATAATTTTTTTTTAAATCGCTTCCACCATCCATCCCAGACCCGTCCCGGTCCACCTGTCTGCCGGGATAGGGATTTGGCCTTCATGATTACGCAAGCCCGGGGTCTGGCAACGGCCTTCTGCGAGTCACCAGCGGAGCTCGGAGCCAGGAAGATGATGCCCGCCCATTCTGGCTCCGAGGCTCCGGGGGAGAGGACCAGGTGAGACCAGCAGAGCTGGTCATAAAAAAGTAATGTTTTTTTTGTTTGTTTTTTTTCTGAACCCCTCATTGCCTCCAATGTGTGTCCCTTCGGTGTATGAATGTGATCAAAAGCGCTGATTACTCTCTACAGATTCAAATTATATTTGAGCTTTAGTAGTGCTGTATGAATGTGTGAGTGGAGGTCAGTGAGTGCACAGTTTGTATTGTAAAGCGCTAAGTATCTTGATTAAATAAAAAAGTGCTATATAAGCACAGTCCATTTACTATTTTAGGAATGATGGATCCAGATTTGCTCTCTGACATGCAGACAGATACTGTATTCTCCAGCCAAATAAATGTTGTCCAACCCGTCAGCTTGTTAGCAGGAGCAGTGAGGTAGATAATAATTGTCAGCTTGGTAGTGTCTTTGGCAGTGCCATGGTGGGTTATGCTTGTGAGGTCTGGCTGATAAAGACGACCCCTGCGTGTAACAGCAAGGCTTCAATGAAAGAAAGAGAGGCTGAATTATTATTACACAATATTACCCCGACAGAAAAAAGCTGCATGTAAAAGACACATTTCAGTGCCTAACAAATATAAATGACTTTTGCTTGATTTTTCTCTGCTTTCTTCTGATTACAGAAAAATTTAGATGTTCAAATCAAACCCCACGTTAAAAACATCAATAAGAAAAAGAGGAATCATGCAGTGCAAACGAGGAGCAAGCATCTGTTGGAACCCAGGATTGTGGGTTGAGCTCCTGGAACACCTGAGAGAGAGATGAACACGGGTTAAATCATCAACGAAGACAACAGTCAGGCTGTGAGCAAGACTTACTGTAAGTGAAACGACTTCATTTTTTAATGGTTTGTCTTGTTGAAAGAGTAAAAATAAAAAAGTGTGCGTGGGGGGATTTATCTGCAAATTCTTCCTTGCCTTTGTTCCTTCTTAATGTGTCTCCCAAATTTAAGGTAAAAAACATTACTGATTTTCTGAAGTCCGTTCATCCATCATTAAGCATTTCCTGCGGGATCAATAAAGTTCTAGAACAAACTGCATGACAAAGTTCAGTTGTTAAGGTTTTGATTTATCACCAAACTATTCGTTTCTTAAATTGAGAAATAGAGTTTACACTGCAGAAACTGTTCACAAATAATCAGATTAGCAAACTGATCTGTGATTATTTACAAATAGTATTATTTTAGTTATTAATATTATTATTGTCTTATTAATATTAAAGTTACAAAAAAGTGAGAGCAAATGTAATTTTGTATAGTAAAATTATTCTCTTCAAACTTTCTTTTTCAACCCTTTCTCATCATGGTAACAAAACTTCTAACCCGTTTCCTGATGAAGCTACTGCAACAGTAACATGTGGGGGGCCCGAGATGGGGCAGAGGCAGGGCAGCTGACTCGGGATCCGAAAGTCCCAGGTTCAATCCTCAACCATTCCCACATGCCGTGGTGTCCCTGCGCAAGACACCCAATCCCTAATTGCTCCCCAGGCACCTACAGAGCCACCCACTGTCCCACCTGGGTGTATCTCTGGTGCGATGGGTTAAATGCAGAGAACCAATTTCGCCATTGTATGGTAACATACAATGATGACAACACATAGCACTTTACATGTCTTTAGTTATAATAAATTGCATCTACATAGAACCTTCTGGACATGGCAATCTCGATGTGTCCAAAATAAATGTCCAGTCATGGAAAACATTGCTGCATACATCAGAACTTTAACACGAGAAGCAAAACCGTAACCCTTGAAGTTGGAGTTTGGGATGTCAACAACAGGAATTCAGTGGATCAACAAATGTTAATATGTTGAAACATAGGCGATCGTTCAACACATAAATAATGTTGTTTTGTTTTGTTTTTTTCTTTTTAACACCCTTCGAGACATAATTGGAATTCTCCCTTGTCATGGTGGAGCTCACTTCCTGTCGCTAGCCTCAGGGTGAGAGCGCACAATGACAAACAACACCCACATTAGCTCTCAAGCAGGCAGTCAGACAAACAGGCAGGGTGACACGCAGGTCATTTGTTTCTGTCACAAAGAGAAATAATGTCCCAACTCCTCCTGGGGTGAACAAACGGGCTCGCACGTACCGGCCTGCCGTCTGGGCGAGATGTGCTCTCGTTGTGATTACCTGCCTCTGCACAGCAAGTGCTTTCGTTGTGGACCTGTGGGAAAATGCTGCTGTTTGCCAAGTGCCATGACTAGTACCCCAGCTGGTTCCTGGGTCAACTCAAAGGACAGAGGTGTCTAGACCAGCCAGGGGATTTCCACAGTCTAAGCTGTATTTATTGCTGCTTACAGTAGAGCCCCCCCCCAAATTTTTGAGCACATGTTCCAATTTGAGGCTTGTACAAAATTACTCCTTTCTGGGGTGGGATTAGGCTCAGGCATTGGTTTTATATGTGGTTGTATTAGTATCATTTAAGCTTGATTCAAAAGATCTGTATCTAAATGTAAGAATGTGTAGCTTTGACAAAATGCGCACAGTTTAACTAAATGACTGCACTGATTGATTAGGTTTGGGTACTCAAGCAAGCACCGTGTATTACCCATATTCTCTGTTTTGTTTCCAGTTTTCTTTCCGAGCCTCCTGCACAACAAACTCGTTCCCTGCGTTTGCCAGAAAAAGCATAACGAGTTAATGGTTCGGAACTCTGGCTTATCTTGGCCATCAATGTAACAAAAGCTATAATTATCTGCAAAATAAACTTGCTTCCTTGATTGTTAAGCAAATAATGCATTAAACAGTTCCAGATAAACCGCTCTGTTGCCAGCTCCTGTGGAGAGTTTGGGCAACCAATTTTTAAAGACTGCAATTGTTGGGCTACTCAGGAGGTTGAATGTTCAAGTGAAATATAAGCTCCACAGCTAATTATTTACTAAAATGTTTTGTGTTCTATCCAGGGAAATAATAAAAGCAGGTTTTTATTTTAATCAAACTACTTTATGCAACTACTCTAGGTCTTGTAATATAAACTGAAACAATATTTTAGTCATTAGTTGTTGTTGTTTTTTTGGTCCAATCCCTCCTTACACTCTTTTTGGCCTTCCATCTTGATGGCCAAGGAAGCCTGGCACTGGTCTAAAGGTCTCAGCCAGCCCAGGGCAGCTGGGATCTGGTGGAGCTCCCTGCAGTTCTGCTGTACACTGGCAGTCCCAGTCCTCTTGCCCCCGCCGCTCCTAATTTTGCCCTTTTATCCCAGCTAGTCCCCGAAAACAATGGCAAAGCACTGTGTGGTGTACTAAAACACACACACCACTGGGCGTACAGACACATCCACACGTTTATAAACCATTGAAAGCGACAAGAGCAAAGGCGGAAAGACGAGCAGACGCCTCTCAGATGCTGGACTTGGCTTCGTGTGCCACTTGACACAGACGGCTGCACACACAAGATAACTGTTGTTTATTGTTTATGGTAGGACCCTCTGCCACACTCCGTGCTCTCTTCATCTGCAAGCTCCTAAATGGCCACGGCCAAGAGCCACGGGGAAAAACTGAAACTCTGCATAATCTGTATACATGTAAATGTGATAAGATATGTCCTGTTTGGCCAGAGCAGATATAAACCTATTTTACAATCTTTGGTCCAAGCTTGTACATTGAGTGTAACACTGTGTGATGGTGGTGTTGCTCAGAAAGGCATGTCAGCAAAAAACACACATTGAATCTCATCAGGTGAGAATGTGTTTGAACTTAATAAATGATGTACTATTTATTGTTTTATTGCTAAGCACATGTTATAAATAGTGATAGTGCATTAGGTTTTGAACAAATTTTCCTGCGGTGGGAATGGGAAACGTCTGTGCAAACAGTTTAAAAAATACATCATCTGAGGTTTTTCTCTTCAAATGGATGGTAACTGTGGGATATTTCATCGTTAATAATCGTTGGTCATCTTGTTTAAAAGTATTACATTCATTTTGTCTTGGACCGTGATTTTCATTCTTTATTAGTATTAATGTCTGAATAATATTTTTGTCTTCTCAAATGTCAACTGCCACCCAGTAATGCATATTTTTAGTCTGTGCCAGATTGTCAGGGCTTAAAACCAACAATAAGAGGCATTATTTTAATGGTGTATTAATGTAATATCCATATTCAACCCAAAGCAAAGCTCTTTATTTATTTAATACCACAATTTGTACTTAAAATTATGTATTTTCACATTTTTTACAATATTTGCACTTGCTTAAAACTTCCTAAGATTTGCCTGCGTTTGTCTGATGCCTCATTCTTCAAAGTTCATAAAAATGTAAAGTTGGTAGAAAAGAGGCTGCAGCAGGGTATTCGGCAGACCTGATGAGGAGAGGACATAGCAGGGTTTCCCTGGGTTTTATGAAAATGTCCTGCTGACGGCTGTCCTGCCCGGGTCACAGCCTCTCCATGCTGCCCTGCAAAATAAAAGAGTGAGCGTAAACAGGCGTAATAGCGAGACACCAAAAGAGACTTGGACTGTGCTCTTGTAAATAATTGCATTCATTGTTCTTTGCCGCTGTTGGTTATGGTCACAAGCTGTTTAGAAGGCCCCTGTCTGTCTGGTGCCCACCATGAGCCTGGTGTCAGTCCCTTTGCTCCTGAGGGGAACAACTTGTGCCAGGGGTGAAGATGCCAGCTCCGTGACCCAGTGGCCCTGCATCTGATGTGCCCACGCCAGTAGCAAACAGTTCCTGGGCCAGCTCAGAGAACTCGGGACACGCTGTGCGCATGCAACTCTACTGTTAAGTAAAGCTGGTTCAAAGAGCACATTCTTGCCCCCAGCCCAACGGCGAAATAGCGAGCTCTTTTGCTCATAGTGTCAAAGCACCAGATTGTTTCATTTTATTGCTTTGCCTTTATCTTGACTGACTCTTCTACGCTCTAATTGGATGCAGTCTGTTTTTAGACTCGTCTGTTTGCTGTAGGAACAGCAGATGGCCTATTTAGACCAGATAACCTGTATACCTTATCTTAAGTGTAGAATTCATTACAAGTTCTTGGATGTTTCAAGAAAGCTGCTTGTCCATGATGAAAACACAATGCAGAAAAATTTGGCTTGTTTAGATGTTAACACCGACTTGTCCTGTAAACTTGTAAAAGCCTGAAGAAAACTAAGCATAATCTATTTCATTGACTTTATGATCAATAGTTCTTGCTCATTTGAGTTTTGAAGTTGTATTGACACTTTTGATTACATTAAAAACATTTTTGTGGTCGAGGGAATGTAATTTGTCACTTCATAGAGAGCTGAAGAGACCGAAAATAGATCTTTTAAAGAAGTCATGCAGATTCGATTTTTTGGTAACACATTACAATAAGGTACACAAAATTTGCTTAACTACTAGGGAACACCTAAGGAACAAATCTGGAACTAATAGGTAGTTAACCAGTACTTATTGAGGAACACACAGCCAAGCCTTATTAGGGGAG